GCTCAAGGTAAAAGACCATTTTCCCCATTTCTGGATAGAGACTGTTGTTTTTTCCCTGAGATGAACTGATCAAAAAATACTAATACCAGTGCAAGGACACTTAGAAATCAAACTATTTTCCTTTTGAAGTGTTTTAGGATCACTGAGTTTGTTGATTCTGAGTAAGTTATTGTCTTTACATTTTTTCAGTCTATTGATGTCATTTCAATTGAACTTTATTTTGTTTTATTGTATTTTATTTGCTTTATTGTGTTGTGTTAATTTTATTTTGGGAAAAGATCTTAAGTAAAAAAAAAACATTATAAACAGGCCTATTCTAAATACTTACCAGAATTGTTGTTTTCTGTCTTTTTTCAGCAAATGCTCCTTACCTACAGTAGTCGAATCCTAGGCTTCTGATGTCCAGATTGATTTGATGTAACCCGTTACACTGGACACCAGCAGTGCAGAAGAGCTGAAGGCAGTCATTGGCTTCATAACACCTCACCAGTATCACAGACCGACCACCCCCATGCCACGGCACATTCTTGAAGTAATTCATGCAGAAAAATACCCCAGACCAAGGGTTTTTACATGTTCATATCTTCAGTAGTCCAATATTTCTGTGTTAAAAACGTTTTTATTGATCTTTAAAAAAAAATTAAATATTTAAATTAGCTGCAAGTCATAATTATTAAAAATCAAAGAAATAAACACTTGAAATGTATCAGTAAGTGTGCAATAATTCTATATGAGTTTCAGTTTTTGAATTGAATGACTGAAATAAAGCAACTTTTTGATGATATTCTAATTCAGTGGTTCTCAAACTTTTTTCATCAAGTACCACCTTAGAAAAAATTGTCTCTCCAAGTACCACCAAAATGAGCAGCATTGAAATACATTAGCGTAGTAGGCCCAGTAAAGCAGCTACAACTCTGCACAGTTCAAAAACCTGGCAGATTACCTCAGAAATATAGCCTATATATAATATATAGCATATTATATACATCATTTTTAATAAATTTTGAATTATATATAGCATGTACATGACATATTTCATTCGTGTACCACTAGAAGGAAGCCCGCATACCACTAGTGGTACGCGTACCACAGTTTGAGAACCACTGGTTTAATTTATTGAAATGCACCTACACCAGATACTGTAAGGTTATGAGAGGAGATACAGACGGCCAATATACAAACAAACAAAAATCTTCATTGGTTTTAATTATTTTTGTATATTGTTGTTTGTATATTTATGTAAGGCGTGTCTAAGATGGGCTTATAAGAAACCCAACATACAGTAACTGTGTATATCAGCTTTGTGTATCAGTCAGGAATAGTCTCCAGCATTCCTGTAAGCCCTCAGAGGATATGCAGTAACAGTTTCAAGAATGAATGGACGATGGATGATTTCTCTTTTGCCAACAGAGGGAGCCATTTGACTTGATGTGTTTTTCTATTGTTTTAAGCTGATAATGTAATGGCAGCCTTAAGAACTTTCAGGCAACATAATGTCCAGCTATTTACTGTTTAAAATTGATGTGTAACCACTAACGTTTGTACTATATCTATTTTAAAATGTCTTGTGAGGTATTTTATTCACTGTTCAGTCATTTAATAGCCAGCATATGTCTACATTTAATTTATTATATTATTCGTTCATTTTCTTGTCGGCTTTGTCCCTTTATTAATCCGGGGTCGCCACAGCGGAATGGACCGCCAACTTATCCTGCAAGTTTTTATGCAGCGGATGCCCTTCCAGCCACAACCCATTTCTGGGAAACCACCACACACACATTCACACACACACACACTCATACATACACTACGGACAATTTAGCCATCCAAATTCACCTGTACCGCATGTCTTTGGACTGTGGGGGAAACCGGAGCACCCAGAGGAAACCCACGCAAAGGCAGGGAGAACATGCAAACTCCACACAGAAACGCCGACTGAGCTGATGTTCGAACCAGCGACCCTGCAACCTTCTTGCTGTGAGGCGACAGCACTACCTACTGCGCCACTGCCTCACCTTTATTATACTAAACATACAATATATTTATATATATATATATATATATATATATATATATATATATATATATATATATATATATATATATATATATACACACACACACACACACACACACACACACACACACACACACACACACAGTCTAGGTGTGAAAGCTACGTTAATTGACTAGATCTTCATCTGTTAAACGGCTTTGACACAATCTACATTGTTAGTAGCGCTTTAGAAATAAAAATTAATAGAAATTGTGAATTGAATATTTCGGTAAAAGAAGAAACTTATCCAGCAAAAAAAAAATGGAGCACACATTTCGCCAGTTTTCTCAACGAACATGTTTTGTCCTTCCAAACTAATATTGCAATATTGACATCAGCACAAAAAACTTGAAATCAGGTTTTCGACATTATTCCGATCATCATGTTCATCGTCGTTAACGTTATGCATATTTAAATGAACATTGTTATGGATGAGGAGGCACTACACCAGCAAGGAGGTCAATTTACATCAACTAACTATGAACAGACACACGTCCTCTACACCGCAAGAGAAACGTTCACGACATAAACCTTCATCCCTTCAGTTGCATAAAGTACAAATCAACATTAAAAATAGCATTTACATTACACGGTTCTTTACTGTCTCAACGTAGGTGTTTGTCTCTACTCAACACAGTTGTACAGTTACAGCAGAATATAACCTTAATAAATTACATCATCATATACAAATATGACGGCGTGGACCCACACGCATTTATACAGGTATGGTACATAGTGATTTCATCGCAGTCAAAATCAAATTAATACAATATGGTATACCTACAGAGCATTACAGTGTTATTTTTTTTTTCAAAGCGTTGTTCTTTTGTTAACCGACATTTACAAGTATAACACTACATTTGTAATTTCTATACATAAACACAACTCATACACACTGAATATAATAAAGAGGATACTCCTCGATACGATAACCTGACGTGTTCCCTTCCGTACTTCTTTTTTGTGTACGCCAAGGTATGTTTTAATAATGCGACTACTTTTTTTTTTCTTTCGGTGTCGGACAAATCACAAAGCTGCTAGGGGTCTTTCCTCTCAACGTATTGGGCCACGTCCTACATGTTGAACATTTTCACTCCCACACTGAATCTCAATGCACAACTTCACAGTCCTCAGGACAGCAATCTGGAAAAACAGGCACACAAAGAGCACTGATCGCATGTTTAAACCGGTGGGGGTTCTGTCATAAAGAAGCCAGCAGTGGGAGGGAAAAAAATACAGTGGTCGCAATAAGCATTTAGACGCTTAATTTACACTTTGGATCCTGCAGGTGTGTTATCCTTTTTAAACTGTGACGCTGCATTTACACCGGATGCGGAAGAAGCGTCAAGCATGAGTGATTTACATGTTAAGTCAATGCAAAGAGGCGAATAGACATCCTGCAGCGCGCGGTGCGAATGACACGAAACGCGCGAATGAAGCGGCACGAATTGAGTGTTTTACGCGTTTGACGTGCTTAACGCAAAAATTTCGCGAAATTCAAAAATCTGAACTTCAGCGGACATTTGCGTTAACCAATCAGGAGCTTGCCTCTTGTAGGTCCGTGATTATGACGTAGCGCCTGTTGTTGGTGTCCCAGGGGAAATTCTCCTGCCTACACAGACAACTGTTCAACAAATTGGGCTCGGCTAAGTCAGAAGCACCACTAAATGCTTCTATCATGCAGGTATCGTTTCTGGAGGAGTTTATGAGCTCACAGAGCTGGCTGCACCTCTGAAATGATCTAGTGGACTCAGACATGGCTCCAAACAAATCAACGCTGTTTTTCAGCCTTCATAAAGCACATAAACACAATTACTTTCTCAGTAAAATCCATGTTAGCCATTTAGCAACGAAGCTACAGTCACCAGGCAGACAGAAGACCTGCCCATCAAGCAAATCCGCTTCTGTTCTGAAGTGAATTTAACCTATGAATGAAGCGGATCTGATGCACGAATTAAGCGGATTTTGACTCGCGAATGAAGCGAGTAAACTCAAAATGTATACGTGTCCATTTTGTCTGGTGTTGACAGCATGAGAGGCTTGAGGCTGATTTATACTACTGCGTCAAGCGCAGGCGTATGCATTGGCGCAACCTTCGTGCGGTCGCATACCCCCTCGCCATGGACGACACTGACGTGCACCTCTCAAAAAAATTTTACTACACGGCGCAAAGACGCATAGCACAAGCTCCGTGATTGGTCGGCTTGGTATTGCCAACAAGTGTGGGCGGGACTGTGAGCCGCGTGAAAACCTTGGAGTGAGTATTTGCAAGTGTTGCATCCAGTAAATTTTTGTTTTGTCTTCACCTTATGATTAAAGTTGTTGCACGCCTGCTGGTTTACACTTCAAAATAGCCGAGAAACACCCGCGAAAAATATCGACAGAGAAACATAAAAACCTACTGCCAGCTAGCGTTTTGGAAGTGTTATCGCAGAACAACACAAACAGCGGGCAGATGTATAAATGCACGGCAACGCACAAGGCATGCGTCGTAGGTCATGCTGATCATTGGACGAAAAAGTATAAACCAGGCTTTAAAGAAATAGTTCATCGAAAATACAAATTCACTCTCTCTCAAGTGGTTGCAAACCGTTATGAGTTTCTTTCTTCTACTGAACACAAAGGATAATATTTTAAAATCCTCGACTTCCATAGTAGGAAAAGCAAATACCGTGGAAGTCAATGGCAACAGGATTCGTTAAAATTTCAATAGAGTGTCAAATAGATCTGAGTAAATGATATAATCTGACAGGTTTGGGTGAACTATCTCTTTAAGGTCATCATAAAACAGAAGGTACGGTGGTAATTTCTTCCCTAAGAAGACATTAGAGTGATATAAATAGGGCAGGGCTTGCTTTCGTGTTTCGTTGTAGTTTGCTTTTAGTGAATTCCACATGATAGATTCCGCACCCGTGCCACTAAACACCAATCACAGAATAGATGCCGCTTTATTAGGGCTACGCTTGCATGACTATAGCTACGTTTCCATTCACCTTTTAAATATGCGCATAAAAACGGTTGATGGAAATGGCAAGATGCTAATTTTGAAAATGCGCATAAAAGCATATGCACATAACTGAGTAGGATAAACTTTGTATTTTTATGCGCATAAACTACGATGGAAACTCTTTTACCAAACAAATTTAAGTATGCAAATTAAAGAAGTCGTGATTTTATATAAAGGGATTATGTGATTATAAAAATGTGTGAATGGACAAACCAGTGGAGCCGACGCATTGTAAAACATCTGAAATGTTGTTTTGTTCATTCTAAAACGCCTTAACATTTCAGTATTAGTGTTGCTATGTTATTAATTACCTCCAGAAACTTCTAACGCCACCACGCATTCATTGCGTGTCGGCATTCTGTCTTCTTAAGTGCAAGTAATTTATTAAATAAAGAAAAGATTCACGTAGCTTCTCCTACCGCAGCAAATTCAGTTTTTACTTTTTATGTTTGGCGCCAGTTAATCAGGAAGTAATGATTTTGTACTCTTTGACTTATTCGATGGAAACGCTGCTTTATTTGCATGTCTTATATGCGATATTACAGTTGTGCACATTAATTTAATTCACATCTTTGGATGGAAAAATAGCTACTGACATTTTGACATTTTTGACGTTTTGAAAAGTTACGCAAAACGATGACAAATTTGTGAAAAAAGAATCCAGTGAAAACTACTTAAACTGCTGGATTATGCATGTATACCAGTAGCTGGTGCTGTGTCTTTGTGCAGGAACACTACGCGTACTGTATGTTCACTCTTTAGGTCATCCACTGTTGTTTGGGTTGTCCAGTATTTGCGCATGCCTATAGACTTAACACATATTTCACATGCGCAACACATCACAAACATCACAATAGTGGGATTGTTTTCACAAACATGCACTTTGAAACCCGTTTTCAAAAGTTTGCCTTTTCAGGCCTGAAAAGGCATCCAAAGTTTTCCTTTGTTAGTTGAAAACGCCACCATGTAAACATCCCCTTAAGTTTAGAAGGACACATGACAAAAAAAAATTGTGCACAGATATGTCACATAATAAATACTGCATTATTCAGTTTAAAAATATGGAATGATTCCATAGTCTGAATACTTTTGGGACCACTGTATATACATTGCATGTTGCCTAAATAAATATTAGGCCCATGTGTGACCTTTTTAAATCAAATATTTTGACTATGTTTTCTTTGCTTGATGCGATAGCAGAGTGCGTTCATTAAAAAGGCTATGAAACTGCAGGGATTGAGTGAATCAATGCATCGGTTGCGAGTATTGATCAGTGGTGTGATGGTCCAGGTGTGAAATTCACATGAGTTCTGTTCTAATGTGCTGTGCACAAGTAGCCCAAATCTTGCACAAAAACATTCATGTCCATCTGAAAAATCTCGATTTGGTATCAAGAAGTGACATGAACAGAGGCCAAACACAAAGCCTTGCTGGAGTAACAAATAACAACACATGGCTTTGACAAACTTGAGATGGCATAGCTCAACAATCCAGCAATTGAAAACCTGACACTATGTTCAGAACAGAACGCTTATATTTCTGTAGTTTATAGTGTGTATATATACTGAGAAGCCAAATAATGTTTCTTTAAAACAGCACAGATACTATCAAACTATTTAATGCACCTGGGATTCCAATGCGATACATTCTTCAACTTAAATTGAGAACATCCAAAAAATGAGTTTACTTTAGGTTTAGGTAGTTTTTAGGTTTAACATTTCTAATTTGGCAGTAATTTGACAACAACTGCATGCTAGTTTTTCAAACGTTTGTCATTGTATAATGTGAAAGCTAAATTTTATCATATTGTTTTTGTTATCAGAATGTTTCAAAACATAGACATTGATATGTGCAAATAAGTGTAAATATTATTTTGAAATATTTCTTAGACTACAGTAATATGTTTTGAAAATAGTTGAAATGTGTAGCTTCCGTAAGGATGATTTCATGCGAATTAGCCACTAAATCAAAAAGTTACGAATTGCCATGAGATAGTGTTGTACGGTTTCATAAATGGCAACTTTCCAAAAGTTCCAAAAACGTTATTACTTTCCTTAATAATTGTTCAAATAAAATTAATTCTTTAGATATGTCGAATAATCGATAAATTATCGCTTACTCAATATAAAAACAGTCGTGTTAGCAGCAACCCTAGAGTGAACATCATCTTAGTGTGGTGATTCCATAATTTTTGAATGATAGTTATCTGTTCTGAGCACAGAATGAGGTTTTCGTGTTGATGGTTTGAGTCTACTGCCCTCTCTGGTCACTGAGGGAACTGCATACAGAACAGACGGCCTGAGAAATATCGGGGACTACATGCTTCCATAGCTCATGCTGCTATGTGTAAAGACACAGACATCAAGAGGACGATACCTAATATAATAACCAGTGCAACAGGGCATGGACTGATGGAAGGAAAACCGAAGAGCCCACTGTGAGTCGCACACTGGACAAGTACCCCGTAATCGCACACTGAACTTTGTCTTAAAATACAGCAAAGTGGCCATATGAACGTCTGTCGAGCTGGAACGTTACACAAATAGGAGTATTCAGTGATATAATTTCAATTAACATGTAATCCGCACGAATAATCCTATCCTGTACTTGCATAACTGATGATGGGTCATTTATTTATTCTTATCCATTGGTTTGAATGCATATAACGTTATATATTTGCAAATAAACATTAGTAGTGAGCAAGCTCTTCCCCGCCTGGCAGATAAGATCAATATATATATACAGTGTGGTTATCTTTACTAAGATTTTTTTTTTGTTCGTTTGTTTTAAATCTTAAACAAGACTGCATTGCACATCTTCAGGGAAAGTCGTTCATATGAAGTCTCTGGCAAATTTGCCATTATATTCGATCGGACAATCAGAGCTGCCTCCAAAGGTGTGTCTTCCTCTGGTCAGATGATCAGATTTCCTCCACGTAATTGGCCGGGTATAAGCCTGACCGCCCGCTGTCCAGGCGACCTCTGCACCAGCCCTGGTCATCTTCCTCTTCGATCTTTGTTAACTCGTCACCTGTAGGTTGAAAATCAGAGTGAAATACTCAACATTCAGCTTGCACGTCAGCAATGTAGGTGTACTATTACAATAATGGATGTTAATAAGGAGGATATGCTGACATATACGTCCTCTTCACAAGGGAATTCAGAAATGCCAACTGAGCCGAGGCTCGAACCAGTAACCCAGCGACCTTCTTACTGTGAGGTAACAGCACCTTCTGCGCCACTGCTTCACCCAATTTTGAATGTGTGTGGTTGTTTTTTGAAATGCAGTATATTAAAGATATATAAATGTTTTGAGTTTCTGCTCTTTAAAAGCCCATTTGCTGCTCTTGTTGGATTTTGAGTTTGCTTTTGCTACATTGTCTAGTCCAGGCATGTCCAAACTCGGTTCTGGAGGGCCGGTGTCCTGCAAAGTTTAGTTCCAACCCCAATCAGACACACCTGGGCTAGCTAATTAGGCTCTTACTTGCCTTTCTAGAAACATACTTGCAGGTGTGATGAGGCAAGTTGGAGCTAAAATCTGCAGGACACCCCTGTAGGGGTTTGGACACCCCTGGTCTAGTCCATATGGACAAACAGTATGAGTTGGTAAACTGGCTAAATAAGAAAAATGGCCCCAAAACAACTTCTTTTCTTTGTTTGAATTGTTTTTTCCACCCATCGATGTATTATCATTAGGGATGCAATGACTATAGATTTCAGTTGTATGATGATAGTCTGCGGAATAATAATGGTTTCAGTTATCACGATTATTATGCATCCGTTAAATTCAAAACAAGACTTAGAAAACCATATGAAAACTCCATATATTTTAAAGTGTTATTTATTGCTGCTCAGTAACCAATTAATGCAGCACAAAATAATACTAAGAAGCAAACAATAGTTAATTTCTCTTTTTACTTAAAAATAAGTGAAAAAAAGTTTTTGCATTTAAACATAAATATAATTTTTACACTGAAAATAAATAAATAAAAAGAAGAAATAAAAAATAGTATTTGTCTAATGTTTTTAAAAAATTGTTTAGTATTTTCCTTCACTATTTTTTGTCTCTATGGAGTAGAAATGTTGATATTCCATACAAAGTATAAAGCGGAACAGTCAGTTGTTGACTCGTGGTGTGCTCGCAGCATTCCTTCAACTAAGTGTGCCTGGAAAGCATGAGCACATCATGCCGCATGTGCATACCTGCCAATATGCGCACGGAAGCTATGCGTCTCCATTGGAAATAATTAACTTGTTTTCACCTTTATTAATAGGACAGTGGAAATATACAGACAGGAAAGCAGAAATAGAAGAAAGATCGGCAAAAGACCTTAAGCCAGGAATCGAACTCGGGTCACTGCGAGCACCCCCGTGCAAATTTTTTGTTCCCCATGAAGAAAATGGCTCATAAATCACACAAAATAAAGTATTTTGAAGATGTAAAAAAGCAGATTGTTTCCTTTAAGGGTTGGGTTTAAGGGTAGTGAGATGTCTAATAGACGTCTAAACATAGTTGTCAGCTAAAAAAAGGTTAAATTTGGGCTGTCAGAGAAAATCCAATAGACGTCTAAGAACAGGCCAAAACTAGACTAGTCATCAACTAAACAGGCATGAATAACTACGCAAAAAACGTCTGTCTAATCAGTCTATTTGATGACTAGTCTAATTTTGGGCTACTCTTACATGTTTATTAGATTTTCACTGACAGCCCAAGTTTAGTCTTGTTTTAGCCAAGCTGTCTAGGTTTAGATATTATTAGATGTTAATTAACACAAGATTGTTTGCTTTGGTGTGTCAGATTTTTTGTTTTCTCTGGTTGAAATCAGGGGTCAAAACTTGTTCCTATAGAATTAAGCTTTAACCCTAATAAAACACACCTGAACAAGCTAATCAAGGTCTTACTAGGTATCCTCGAAACTTTCAGGCAGGTGTGTTGAGGAGAGTTGAAACTAAACTCTGCAGGGACATCAGAACTCTAGGACCGAGATTGGTGACCCCTTAAATGCTCTGTTTTGCGCTTTATGAACAAACAACCTACTATTTTTGTCTTTTAAGTCATGAATTAATCTTCCCAATTCTTTTTAATAACAATCCTGAGCTGCTGGTGGCTATATAATTGAAGGTTGGTCACTGCAACATAACATTGACCGCTCCTTAACATCATTTTTGCTTTTTTTTTTTTAGCTAACTGCACTTTACCTGCTTTGAAGCTCAGCTCGTCCTGCTCCTGTCCATCATAGTCGTACAGCGCCCGTACGCGAACACCTCCTCTGCTGGCCGTGTCTTCCTCAAAAGAGTTTGCTCCGCCGTTCGTCTCGTTCCCAGAGTATCCGGCGGGCTGCTCATCATCTGACCATTCTGTGGAGTACGTCTGGTTCTTATCATAGCTGCTCACGCTACACAAACAGAAGAAATACAACATATAGCAATTGATTCCACTGTGGTTTCTTGAAATTAGGACTGAAAGGTTAAGATCGAACATGCATAACATGTGCATGAATGATTTTTCTGGAGGTTTAAATTTATGCAATACTACAAAGACTGCAATGATTTTAGCTTCTTTACATGCTTTAATACAGTGAATACAGTATATACGTGTATATGTTCATCTTGCTGATACTGGGTTGCCTTCAAACCGCCTCAGTTCTTAATGGCCGGAAAACACCAAGCTGACAGTCGGCTGTTGCGAAGAGTTGCATCTTGTCAGGTTAATGACGGCGGTAGTTTGCCGATTCAGCATGTAGAATCAACGTCAGCCATTGATGAAAGAGCACTCTGATTGGCTCTTCAGCTATGAATCAAAGTACGACAACAAAAACTGTGGCGAAACTAAGCAAACAATGCAGGTTATGAGGGAACACAAAGAAGCCGGCGGTCAATTCGACATATTTCTTAAATATTTGCAAATGATAACGGTTATCAGATAATCAGACATATTAACATGAGCAAATCCCTTAGTGGTGATTGAGAACGTACTGTGTAAATGGTATGTAAACGCTGCTTTGTTTATGGTTTGCACATGTGCAGCACCAGTTCTGGTTTCCCAGAACTTTTATTCTTTGTAGAATACAGATCCTGCCCCCTGCAGGTATAGAGAGGTAAAAACTCTCACACAGAAGCAGAACACACACCCTTTGTTTAGTTTAGCACGGCAACAACACTGTCATTTTTCGTTACTGCTAGTTCATTGATGTCAGCTTGTTGTGTCCCGGGCTTCACAGTATATTTTAGATAAGTTGTTGGAAGCATTCCTCAGAAATGTTGTATAATGTGAATCTCCCATTCCAGTACAATCCAAAGGGGCTATAGTGGACTAAGATCTGGTGACTGTGAAGGTTATTTGAGTTTGGTGAACTCAAGATTGGCGACCATGATTGTGTCCACTCCAAAGTTCCCTTCGGAGGGCAGTATGCACTGTATGGAATGCATCAAATGAAGGGGAACCTGTCTATAGGAACGCACTTCCTTTACAGATCTCTCTTCTGAAGAGCTGGTTATCTAAAATAAGTTGTGGTAAACAAAAGAGGCAAGCGAAATGTGTATAGTGAGGGTTCTTGACCACGAAACCCCAACATGGTGTGGCTAAATATCAACTATCAATATAAATGGCCTATAAGTAAGGAAGTAACCTTCTCCCATAGCAAAATTTCTCTGGCCCAGATCTGGCCCACACCATCAGCATTTGCTCGGCCCACATGCTGCAGTGAATTACGGTACATGACTGGACCAGGTCTGGCTTCCATACAAGAGGCAAACATGAACCATATCTGTGCCAAGTCTCAGCGAAGTTAATAACCCATAACTGGGCCTGAACTGGGCCAGATATGCTAGTGTGTCACGACTGCAATGCTTTTTATAAACCCATGTAGCATTTCTCTTTATGGCTGTGCTTTTTTTTGAAGTGACCTGATTGATAGATGTGGCGAGGGGGCATGGCCGAGAGCCGTGGGAATGGAGTGAGGCCACCGCGTAAGTGGATACACCTGCGGTGCGCACCTGCCTCGGATCCCACGGAAGGAGCTCTGGACCATAAAAGGAGGACCGATGGCAGAGGAAGCCGAGAGAGGACCGGGCCCGGACATATTTTACTTTTGCTTTCAGTTTCTGTTTGTTTTGGTTTAGACGGCAGTCTCCGTGAGGAGCTGCCGTCACTGTTATTAATAAATATTTTAAAACTGCGTCGGTTCTCCGCCTCCTCCTTCCCGGCGGCCAAAGGGGCCGTGAACTTCATTACAATATAATTTTTTCTTTACTCAAAAATAATTTAAATGTATTTTTAAAGTGGGTCAAAAAAGGCCGAACTTACGTGGCCCACATTTTAACATCTGGGCCCAATACTACATTTGATATCTGGCCCAAATCTTGTGTGCCGCCTGTAAGACGGTGCCAACTCAGCCAAACCTGGGTCATGTTTGGCCTACATCCTGCATGTCAGTGCCAGACGAATGCCTGCTGTGCCAGCTTTATGCCAAACCTGGGCCAGAATTCTTTGCAACCTGAGTTTGATAGATTAATATACACTTTCCACAGAAGAGGTTAAAGCCAAAATCTAAAGAGATCAGAAGAGAGTTCTCTGTTGAGCTTCAAAGATTTTTTTATGGAGAGTGTGAAGTGTGGAGGGGACAGAAATCAAACTCTAAAAAGAGAAAAGTTCACTGCAGATGAAAGCGAGGCGAGTGTGAAGCAGAGTCTGACCTGCCGCGGTCTCCTGGTTGACCTGCGTGTTCTGTGTTCGGGGTGGCAGGAGCGACTCCATCCGGCTTCTTCTTTTCTCTCTTGGCAACAGCATTGGTAGCCTCTGGATTATATTCCTGAGAGAAACAGGCCAGAAAAACTCACTTTCACTTCATACAGTTCCTGAGAATGATGTTTTAAAATGGTTTTCTTTACTATCAGTTCTTGATAGTAAAGAAACACATTTTAATTTTACCTCATTATTTACATTCAAAAACGTCATATAATGTTGTTTAAACTAAACAGAAATATGTTCTAGAACAGGGGTGCTAAAAGGTAGGCTTCAGACAAGCCTGAAAGACTAAATTAGTTTGATCAGATGTGTTTAATTAGAGTTAGAACTAAACTGTGCAGAGCTGCAGCCCTCCAGAAACTGAGTTTGACCCCTGTGTTCTAGAACTATATCCGATAAAAAAAAAACTAGCATTAAAAACATTTATTTATGCGACTAACTTACAGTAAGACTTTACAGATATATTTGAGGTTTTGTGACCATACAAATCTCAAAAACACACAAGGCCTGTTTAAACCTCAGTATCTATTATTATTTAAAGTTGTGTACCTCAAACTGGGGCCAGTTCATATGCATGCCGGGACCGTGATTATTACTGAACCACTTGAGATCCTCTTGTGTGTTAGCGGCCAGAATGGTGCGCTCAAACTCACGGTACACTGCGGCATAGCTGTACATAAAGAACACACACAGAAAATACACAAACTCAACAGAACGCCTTGACGAATACACTTCCTAAAACTAGACTCCAGGGAGCTCTAACCTCAAACTGAAGGATTTAAAAATGTTCATGAATTAGACATGATTAGCCACCATCCTTCAAGAACACACCAACGTTGTATTAAATAATGAGTTAAATTGTAACATCCCTACACTGTGCTTCAAAAGTATTCAGAGATATGATTGAATATTTCTGGTAATCGTGGAGCTTCTTTACAGCTACAGTTTTACAGTATTGTTATTCGTTATACTGAAACAAGAGGCCAACATATTCAAAGAAATCACCTTTTGAATGTGTGAATAAATTATGTAGATTTTGGTTTAATTGATGCTTCTGTGAGTCTTGTGTATCAAATCTGATCTTTAATTTGCATTTTCTATTGGATTCAAGTCAGGTGATTGGCTGGGCCATTCCACAGCTTGATTTTCTTTCTCTGAAAGCATTTGAGAGATTCCTTGACTGTGTTTTGGATCATTGTCTTGCTGAAATATCCACTCTGGATTCATCTTCATCCTTCTGCTAATGTAGATAATGGACTGAAGCAGCTAACATTAATTTACACTGATGAAGGGCAGAGAGTTGCTAAAGAACTACTGAGAGATTTCAGCTGCTGTCTGGGCTTTCACTGCTGAACTAGACCCCCCTTTCTTCATGTGTTCAATACTTCTTCCTAGAAATCATTTCATTTTATTTTGCATAATTTCATTTGTAAACTGTTTTGTACTTTGCATATATGGATTTATTTGGTTGTTACCAACAACTGGTGAAAACATCAAGTCAGCAGCACCTTTTCAGACTATGTTTTCTAATGTTCATGTGAAAACATAAACATAAAATCATTTTTCCCCCTCACTGTATATATTTTTTGTCTTGTTTCATGTCCAAATATCAAAAAAAATCTAGACAAGCAAAATATTGTACAAAATAACAAAATTAATTTGCTTACCCCATTGGCAAAAAAACTGGAAAAAACAATTTTGGCACATTATTACTGAAAAAAAACCTATATTTTTGCTTGTCTAGAAAATGCTTCTTGATTTAAGATTTTTTTTAGATACCTGTACTAGAATCAAGGAAAGTTTATTTATATACTGTAGCACATTTCGTACACAATAGTAAATCAAAGTGCTTTACATAAACATAAATAAAAGAAACAAGGAAATAATTTTTTTTAAAAAAAGAATTAAAAACTAATATTGATTAAAACTAATAAAAGCAGATTAAAATGTGTTAGAACAGGTTATAAAAGAATGAATAGTGCATCATAATAGTGCAAGACAGGACAAAAACTTTTTTCTTTTTTTTTGCTGTGTAAGATCCTGATTCCTCTGTGAATGGGAGGTTTACACTGACTTTTGGTTCTCGGTGAGGTTTAGGTGTCGTTTGATGTCCAGCAGGACCTCTTTGAGGAAGGTCAGCCGCTTGACCTCGTGCTGCTGGCATTGGTCAAACACCTGCTCCATGCTCTCCATGTACGGTGGTCTGCACTTGGACAGCTCGTCCAGAGACTTCTCATACTTCTCCTTCGCCTGCCAGAAACACAATTCAATTCAAGTTTATTTGTATAGCTCTTTTCACAACAGTTATTGTGAAAAGCAGCTTTACTAAAGTGCACATTATTATAGTACAATCAAATTCAGAAAAGTAAGGTTATTTGTTACAACAACTTTAACTAATTGACTAGTAACTAATAGTTAAAGTTATTATATATAAACATAGTAACCCTGCAGTTATATAGTATATATACTTTGCTCAACATATATGAGTATATATACTCATATATACAACAGTTCTGTCTGGATCTCGAATCTGATTGGCTGATAGCCGTGATATATTTAAGTAATATCAGCATCCGTACAGCGTCTTTACCCTTCGTGTATTACTCCGCCCACATACATCAAGCAGACACTACAGTTTGACAAATATTACTGCTGTTACACATCAAAATATACTTTTGAGGCTTTTTTAGTGGAGAATGTAGTTGTTTAGATTGCAACTATGCAGTTTATTTGAAGAATAGTGCCTATTTAAAATATTTACAATTTCTATGAGAGCTCGTCGGCGACAGTTGACGTTTTCTATCCACAAGATGGCAACAGAAACGCATAATAAGCCCTTATGCTTAGAAGATATAACAGTCTGATTTCTAACTACAGCACATCAAATCAATATTAAACTGATAAGCACACCTGCCAACACAAGTATTCCATATTTCAGACCAGTCTCCCGCAAACATCCCATTTTTATTTCTTTCTAAAAAAATTCACGAAATTTCACCCACCCCCCCTCTTTGGTACAGTCTGTAAACTAGACACCCCTGGGTTGCCAACTTTGGTTCAGTACCCAATCGAAGCGGCCACCCAAAACCTGCTGCATCCTGTTCTCAACTTCACCCCGAACACCCCCTCACCCCCCAGATTTCAGAGACATGCAGGCAGGTTAGATGATCTGTCTTTTTGTATGTTGCTGTATTTTTTACCGATTTGCTGGCATTTCAGGAATGTGTGTTGTGTTGGCACAATGAAATAAGCAAAGTCTGCATGTGTTTAGCGTTTTTCCTTATAGCAAACACAACAGCAGTCTGGTAACGTTAGTGGATTCATTGTTATTTTCGGGGTTAATTATTGTGAAATCCCGATTGCAACAGAGACTGTAGACTTTAACACTCTGTAATAAGATGTCACTGTAGATGGATGGCATTTCATGTCACGTTCAGCCTTATAATCTTAAAGAGATCACTTTAGAGTCATTCAAACACTTGCTCTAAAGTGACGTTGGTGAATTAGTAACGGCTTCTGCTGTTCTGACGTCAGCTGCAGATTTGAATGAATAGCGGAAGAAAGTAGTTCCTAATAAAAAGGGGTTTTTAGACTCTCCGTGTTTGTTTTTTTTCTTATTTATATACAAGATTGTGCCATTGAACTATTGTATAAACGCAATATCACACGAATAGCAGTGCGATATGGCTGAATGTAGCCCCCCACTAGTGCTGATATAGAGCCATATCGCACTGCTACACACACACAAATCTCTTATTTAAATAAATATTTTCTATAGAAAGCTTTACAATAGGGTATTTGCGGAAGTATGCTAAAGGACTTTTAATTTGTCAGTAACCTGGGTTAAGTGCCTCATGTAAACTGTACACAGTTACAAAAGCGGCACGTTTAAGGTATGTTTTCATTAACCCCCAGGGGTCTAAGGGTGTTTTGGGGCCATGGAGAAGTTTTGACATGCACTGACATGTGCGTTGTTTGTGTTGTTTCAAGTGTGAAGAAGATTGCACAACACAGAGTTTTGTAGTTGTGTCATGATGACCTGCAATGCTACTCAATATTAAGCCTATATAGAAATGTTTTACAACATTTGAATGTCTCGGACCACATTCACAGTCAGGAAAAACACAACTCAAAGTTTAAAACTGGCCTGAAAGTCTATCAATAGTTCTTTGTGCTGGAAAGCGAATGCAACTTTAATTAGTTTCTGTATTTTGGCCAGTTTTCCGCACCTTCTGCACATCCTGTTTGCATTTCTCAGTCTTCTCGTGGAGTTTTTTCTGCTGGTCAGGAGTGACCGATGCATCTGCTTCACGGGATGCAGCCAGCTTCTCCTCTTTACAGGCCATGTGGTAGGTTTTCTTGGCTGTTTCCATCTGCAAACACACAGGCAGACACCAATCTCTTTAACTACGTAACAGCAACAATGCAGCTCAACGGATAAACCTGGGCAATGGTTGCTGAATATAACAGAAACTGTTGTTATCATAAGATCATGCCCAGTTCTGAGGTCAGGAGAATGGTAAAATATAATCTTAATTTAAAGGAATAGTTAAATAAACAATAAAAATTCATAATTTATGAAATAATGTATCAAAATAATGTCACCTTCCCCAGCAGGTATCATATGACATTGATCTTTAGTTCTAATTTGGTTGCGACATCAGGTGACCAAAATTTAACATCAATTTGCTGTCTAATATTGACGTCAGCTCACATCTAATACTGACATCAGCAGACGTTTATCTTTGGTTGGTTTTAGGCTGTGGCAACTAAAATCCAACATCATTTTATTATCATAATATGACATTCATACAACGTCAATGTCTGACATCTTTAGCCACTGATATTTGGTTGATATTAGGTTTTGGCATTAACTACAAAAAATCCAACATCATCTTAATGTCAAACATGAAGCCCATACATCTTGACGCTGACGTCTGACCTCAAACTGACGTTGGGTTCTGACGTCAACCCGATTTTCATATACAACCAAAGTTCAAAGTTAGTCTGACGTTGACGTCAATTGTACGTCTGTGTGACATGCGGACCTTTTTTTACAATTCCTTATGAATTTTTACTCATAAATTCTGACTTAACATTGCTTGATTTTGACTTTTTCTCCCCTGTAGTTAAATTCTGAACTCAGATGTAGTTTTTTGTCCTTTTAAATGACTTCTGCGGCGACGCAGTGGCACAGTAGGTAGTGCTGTCGCCTCACAGCAAGAAGGTTGCTGGTTCGATCATCGGCTCAGTTGGGGTTTCTGTGTGGAGTTTGCATGTTCTCTCTGCGTCCGCGTGGGTTTTCTCTGGGTGCTCCGGTTTCCCCCACAGTCCAAACACATGTGGTACAGCTGAATTTGGTAGGCTAAATTGTCCGTAGTGCATGAGTGTGTTTGTGAATGTAAGTTAGCGGTTCATTCTGCTGTGGCGGCCCCGGATTAATAAAGGGAATAAGCCGACAAGAAAATGAATGAATTAAATGACTTCTTTTAATTTAGGAATTAATTTTCTTTTCATTTTCTGTGAAGTCATTTATTGTTATTATTCTAACTTTGCAGTAGTTTATCTCCTTGTTGACATCTAAGTCGACAGGCTTTGAGGACTTTAAGATACAGAGCTCGGTTTCAAAAATAAAATTTGAAGTTCTATGAAGGAAAAATTGTTTCAAATAAAATCCGTCTCACAGCAGCTGTTAGATGCAGGCAGAGTGTAGGAGCTCTAGAGGGCGCTGCTGCAGCCTCAGCTCCTCTGTGTTGCCAGATCTAGACATTATAAGCATTGCATCATTTAAACTGCTTTTAATCCTTTTGACCTTATTCTAAAATGCGGAAGTGCGCCTGTTTTCGCGATTGTCTTAGAACTTCCGTTTCTGTCGCCTATGGGAGAAATTACAAGGAATAATAAACGGCAAAAACGGTCAAACTACTTGCTCTACAAACAAATGTTTGCATGACTATACAGACCAAGTAGAATAATATAACAAGGAAATATCAGTTTGCAACATCAAACAGCGAAACGAGCAGTTTTTAACGTCTAAAAATGAATGGAAGTGAATGAGACCGGAAGTCTCGTGCCAAAAAGATTCAAATGGCAGCGCCCACTCGTTTGCGGAGAATAAGGTTAATACCGACAGCCTTAATAGTGTCATTTGGGTGTTAAGAAAACGATAAGAGGAAGTTTGCAGTTAACAAATTTATATCCTGTTTGCAAAATGCAATATTTGAATTTATTCTGTACATTTTTGCTTTTGTTAGTTTTTTTTCATAGCATTTTCTGGCAATGAAACGTGAAAATATGTTACCCATCAGATTGTGCTACCAGTGATCAGGGAAGAAGTTATCACAGACAATAACTGAGTGCGGGATGTGGTGGGAGATGTATCGTGGAAGGGAGGCTCAGGGTGTTGGTGTGTATTGTGGACAAAAGTTAAGGGGGCTGATAATTAAGGGACTAAGCTGAAGTAAAATGAAGGAATTTACACTATGCCATAACCATTAAGGCCCGTGCACACAGAGACGTTTTTTGCTTGCGTTTTCCGTCTACGTTTAACGCCTTGCGACTGAATAACGGTGCTGCTGAAGTTACAGTAAACAGCACTTGGAGGCGCTCAAGCGCTAAACTGTCAATGCGAGTGCACATTTAAAAAGATGCCCAGAGGCGATATGAACATGGAGCTGCTTATTGCACTGGTAGACAATCATTTCTTCATCGCTAGAGCTGGAGCTGCTGCTTGAACCATCCATGCTTGTTCGAGTCACCAGTAATTTTAACATGAGTGTGAACTTCCTCTCCTCCTCTTCTTCTGTGTCAGAAGCGTAAAGTTGTGCAGCGCCATCTAACGTCAAAAGAGTGATTTTGCATACTCTACAGCTTGACGCCAGTGAAAAGCGCTTGGGTTTGAATACTGAAAAACGTCTCGTAAAACGCTGACAAAAAAGCAAACAAAAAGTGTCCCGGTGTGTAGGAGCCTTTAATTGTGACTCACAGAATGAACATGATCAAACATGAGCTGTACTTGTACCTCTTTGAGTTTCTTAGCCCAGGGTTTCTGGGCTTTCTTGAAGCCCTCTTCAGCCTCTTTGGTTTCCTTGAATCCGCCCATCATCTGTCTGTGGTACGAGTCTTTCTGCCAGTTCTTCACCTTCTCGACGTCTTCGTTCATCAGACCGTTCTTCACCTCCTGATGAAGTTCACTCACCTTATCGGCTTCAGTCATCATGGCTATCCAGGCTCGCTCCACTGACCCATACTGAGGCCCTGCACACACACACGAGCACACACACAGACAGACGAACCAAATCAGAAATAGACAAAACAATATATTGAAGTGCTATTATACTAGCATTCTTTACATAACAGATTTGTTTAAAACTAGCCAGCTTTTTTTATTATTTTGCTGTAAAATAGGAATCATTTTTTAATTATTTTGTCTCTTTTTCTTTTAATCAAACAATTATTTGTATTGGTCATGTAAGGGTCATATATTAACTGAATTTCTAATGTTGTGTGTGAGTGCTGTGCATACTAATTAGCATTTTTGCAGAAGTAGATAGATGCGGGTCCAAAATTAAATTCAGCTCTGTAGAAACTTCCTGTCTGAAGAGAGGTGTTAAAACTGAACACAGAACACAGAAAGATGTATGCTTTTTTGTTGTGCAGAGAATTTGTAGAAAAAGAGGAAGTATGTTGAAGGTGCGGCCAATGGAGGACTGAACAATGACTGACAAGTGACGTTACACCAAAACTCCACCTGTTAAGATCAGTTGTGTATATATAATGGAGTCAGGAAATGTATGTTAGTTGTGAACCTCTTGAATGTAATTCTTGTATTGCATTGGGGTAATGTAACCCAGAGCTCTGTCATCGAATTATTCATTTGTATCTAATAAATTGTGACGATTTTTGACATTGAAGAAAAACCTCTTCTAACCTTTTCTCTTGAACACGCATGGAGTTGGCTAGAAATTCCAACAATTTACCAGCCACCACCAGCATTTAAGATGATTTTCATTAAAATTTGATGGTCCTCAGAATATTTCAAGCTAGTTATATGTCCACATTATATATCAAAATAAAGAACCAACCATCTGCTTTCAAACAAAAAAACAGAACAAAACACTTCATTCTATCTCCATGTTTTACCACTGAATGCAATGTATTTAGTCAGCCACCAATTGTGCAAGTTCTCCCATTTAAAAAGATGAGAGAGGCCTGTAATTTTCATCATAGCTACACCTCAACTATGAGAATGAGAAAAACAATCTAGAAAATCACATTGAAGGATTTTTAATTTATTTATTTAGCAAATTATGGTGACACATAAGTATTTGGTCAATAACAATATTTCATCTCAATACTTTGTTATATATCCTTTGTTGGCTATAACAGAGGTCAAGCATTTTCTGTAAGTCCTTACGGTTTTCACACACTGTTGCTAGTATTTTGGCCCATTCCTCTACGCAGATCTCCTTTAGAGCAGTGATGTTTTGGGCAACACACACTTTCAACTCCCTCCAAAGATTTTCTATGGGATTAAGATCTGGAGACTGACTAGGCCACTCCAGGACTTTGAAATGCTTCTTATAAAGCCACTCCTTCATTGCCCGGGTGGTGTGTTTGAGATCATTGTCATGCTGAAAGACCCAGCCATGTTTCATCATCAATGCTCTTGCTGATGGAAGGAGGTTTTTACTTAAAATCTCAAGATACATGGCCCCATTTACTCTAAAAGTCTACCTTGTAAGCAGCGATTTTTGATTGCCTTAAAAGACCACCTAAGTCCAAAAATGCGGAGGTTTTTCTTTCAGTTCACCACGGTATCAAATTCCATTAAAGAAAGGTAGAAAGATTAAAAATGAAACATACGAAAGTAGATGAAACTCGCCTGGTAATAAGAGCCTGGTAATGCGACATTAATTGTTTTATACTTGGTTTTATCCATTTTTCTTTGCATGTTGAAAACACGTCGACCACAACAGGAAAGAAAAAACTGCAACTGCGTTAATTTTTTTTAACTCGTTGAATATTTTAAATTAATTGCATGCATTGACGCACAAATTTTGACAGCACTAGTATATACACATGCATGCACAAACTAATTAAATAATTAAATAATGGAGTGAACCAAAGAAAAGAATCTACACATTTTCTGAACTTCTTATATTTTATACCTGGGAGACCCACAAGTTAACACTAATTGCTGTAAAAGCTAGAAGCATTGTCTCATAATTGACAAAATAATCTCCATTATAGGAGTTAACTGGTTAAAACATTAAAGGGGGAAGCCTCAGGTTGTCTCACTGACCCTTCTCGATGAGCTGCCTCCACCGTTTGGACCATTCGGTGAGCTGCGCGCTGTAGGACTTCTCAATCTTGGCACGTTCCTGAAGGCAGTTCATAAGATCATTGCAAAGTCGATGGCCGTCATCAATTCTCTTGACAGCGCGCTTATAGTTTCCCACCTGGAAGCGGAAGAAATCATGTTATACAGACATCCTATAATACACAGTGATACTGTGGAGAACAACATTTATTTTAGGACCATTTTATAATATAATGACAACTATTTAGTAAAGCTACTTTTAAAGACAGAATTTTTGAAGTGGTCATCTTGAACCCAAAGCTCTTAAGTATTATATTATCCTGGTGTGCTATCCTCAGTAGACAGGTACAGTCTTGTGCAATGTAAAACATTTCTTTCTGTCTTCAAATTGTTTTAGTTAAATCAATTGAACTTGTCTAGTCATCTCAACTAACATCAATTTAATCTGACAAAAAATATTAAGTTAAACTTTACAACTTAAAAATTTACTCAATTTGTTTTATTTAAATTTATTTATACAACAGTTCTGTCTGGTTTTCATACCTGATTGGCTGATATAACAGCATTTATACTGCCTCTTCACCCTTGTGTATTACTCCGCCCACCCACATGACAAGCAGAGGCATTAGCTCACTACAGTCTGACAAATATTGCAACTGTTGGACAACATATTGAACTTTTGAGGCTTTTTTTAGTCGAGAATGTAGTATTTTAGATTAAACAACTATGCGGTTTATTTATAAGGATAGTGCCTATTTTAAATATTTATAATTTTGGAGATTTAGCAAGTTGGCAGCCATCATCAGAGCAAAGAAATCTCACCTAATATAGATTTAGCAATAGAAAAATATTCATTATTATAACAAAAAGAGACATTTGTTTAGAGTGTGATCTTAAGTTTTTTTTGTTTGTTTGTTTGGTTAGATTAGTTCCAATTTTGTCTTTGACACTGATTGATCTAATGTCTATACTCAAATATATATATAAATAAATGATCAAAAGTGCCCCTGCGACGCGGCACACCCTCGGTACCGCTCTTCAGTAGGCGCGCGACAACACCGCTCTTGAGTACGCGCGCGACAACACAGCTGATCAGTACGCGGGCAACACCAACCCTTCCCCCACCCCCCCCCCCCCCCCCCGGCTCTTCAAAAAATTTATCCTGCACATGCCCTTCGGACGGTCTCTGCACGGGCCTTTCTGTGTGAAGTTTGCATGTTCTCCCTGTGTTCACATGGGTTTCCTCCAATTTGGGTAAGCTAAATCGTATATCGTAGTCTATAATGTTTAATAATCAATTTAAATTATGTAAAAATAAATAAATAAGCAGCATTAATTCGCATCCATACATGTTAAGTATGCAAGTTGTGTACAGCCGTATTTTGACTTGCCACTGTTACATACTAAATTTTGCTAGCTTCAGCATGTCATCGCTACTTTTTTAGGGTAATTTAGTAGTAACTTGCTAACTATTTAGCTACCTACAGGGGCAGCACGTGACGCAGTGGGTAGCACAATCGCCTCACAGCAAGAAAGTCGTTGGTTCAAGCCCCTGGCTGGTTCAGTTGGCATTTCTGTGTGGAGTTTGCTTGTTCGTGGGTTTCTCCCACAGTCCAAAAACATGCTGTACAGGTGAATTTGGTAAGCTAAACTGTCCGTAGTGTATGCGTGTGAATGAGGTATGGATGTTTCCCAGAGATGGGTTGCAGCTGGAAGGGCATCCGCTGCGTAAAACATATGCTGGATAAGTTGGTGGTTCATTCCGCTGTGGCGACCCAAGATTAATAAAGGGACTAAGCCGAAAAGAACATGAATGAATGAATATTATAATATATTAGCGTGCAGTTGTGTGTGCTGCCTGCAGGTGGCGTGAGAGCAGACTGAGTTTGGCTGATAAGCGGGGGAAGGGACTCATTCTTGTGCATGTGTTATGCAATGACTGCCACAGCTTTGTGTCCATGTGCTCCTAGCGCTAATCCTGCGCTTCACTGCGCTAACAATGACATCATTCGCGCGCACACTCACACACACACACACATACGGACAGATACGTGCCCAGCAGAGGCTTTGAGACAGGTTTAAAGGGATGAAAGATGCTATGTGAGCCCACAATCTCACTGCAATGATGTCTACCAAAATACAAACAACACAATCCATTGAAACGCCTATTAAATGGATGTATCTTTGTCAAAAGAATAACTGACCAACTGTTGAGGGCAGTATAAAGGCTACTACGTTTTTACAGTAGCAGGATAAGTTTTATAGCAATAGCTACAGTATGTTCAAATGTTTATTCAGATCTTATTTTCATTCAACTACAGCAATGGCTGAATTCCTTCGTCTATATTAGGGATTTCCTGGAATATTCTGCTACTTTTTTGAGGCGTATATGGAATTTCTGCTCAAGTATGAATGAAGGCATTACCTGCATTTTAAGTGCTACAAAGCCCACATCACCCTATTTTGAGGAAAACTGAAAAAATCTCCCTCTAAGGAAATTCTAAGTAAACATATTTCTAGCATATAAATCTTTATTTTTATTATTTGTACTATTTTTAATACAGTTGTTATTATATCAAAAATAGTAGCCTATTGAATATCAATAGGCGAGGCAATGGCGCAGTAGATAGTGCTGTCGCCTCACAGCAAGAAGGTCGCTGGGTCGCTGGTTCGAGCCTCAGCTCAGTTGGCATTTCTGTGTATGTTCTCCCTGCGTTCGCGTGGGTTTCCTCCGAGTGCTCCGGTTTCCCCCACAGTCCAAAGACATGCGGTACAGGTGAATTGGGTAGGCTAAATTGTCCGTAGTGTGTGTGAATGTGTGTGTGGATGTTTCCCAGAGATGGGTTGCGGCTGGAAAAGCATCCGCTGCGTAAAAATTTGCTGGATAAGTTGGCGGTTCATTCCGCTGTGGCGACCCTGGATTAATAAATGGACTAAGCTGACAAGAAAATGAATGAATGAACTTCCAGCTGCACCTGTATCCCTTATAGCAACAACCCCTGGAGAAGGCTTCCATGAAGGCGGAGCCTCAAAGCCACACCTAATATTCAATTATCAGCATTGACCAATAAGAGTTCAAAGTAGGGATGTGTATTGGCAAGGGCCTCACGATATGATATATATCAAAATACATCGGTCACGATACAATATCACATTATATTGTGATACAATAAATATTGTGACATATTGCAATAGTTTGTATTAGTATGTGTGTCATGTTATATTGACAACTTGATAAAGTCAACAGACGAATTAAAATTCCAGTTCCAATTTTTGAGATTTGCAAAGCTTGCAAATGGCATTTTTTTGTGTGTAATTCCATATTCCATGGTATAGTGTTATATACAGCCACACGTCAGCCCTAAAAGCTGGAGGCGCCTTTATATTTTCCACCATGCTCACTCTTTCTTAGTTTTGATACTGTACTGCTTAGTGTTTTGTTGATAGTTAGCGACATCTACTGGAGCAGAGGAGGAGGTTGTTTGGTTGTTTGGTTGCTTATCGATACTTCAGGTTGGACTATCGATACACTATTGCGAAAAGAATTAAAGAATATACATTTTCATGACTTGTCCAACCCAGGCTCATTCTGAAAACGTAGTCCAGCGGACGTTTCTGGAGGCCGCGAAATACGTCCCGGGAGGTACGTATTTGTGCAGTTTTTGTTTTCGCGAATCCGCGAGAGGCCGCTGTGTGCGCTTTTTCGTATCTCGAACGTCTCTCGCGAGTGCCGTTCGCACCCGCGCTGTTCTCGCGTCAACCCACCAGAGGCCGCTGTCTGATCGACCGAATGATTGACTGCGCGACCGGCCAATCGGCTGACCCACCCTCCTCCTTCCCTGAACTCAACCAGTTTTACCGATTGACCCGCCCGCCCGCTCACTTCCTTAAACCCGAGCAACAATTTAGAAAAGCCGTCTAGAAAAAGAAAAGCCCTCCTCTGTTTTTTTTTTTACCATGTTTTCGGATTTCACCACGTTCTCACCCTGTTATGAACTCGTTCGCTCTATTTTTTGGATTCTGGTTTCTGGAACCGCTCTTCCCCGGACTCGAACCCGGACGCCTTTGTCAACTCCTCTTCTCTGCATCTGAAGTCCGCCGATGCACACGATGAGCTGACCGAACAAACTGACTGCATCGTGAAAGCCCTCCACACGGAGGTAAGCGGTCAGCCGGCAAGCGCGAAAGGGAAGGGCGTCACACCGCCCCGTAGCGTTCGCCTAAAAAATTGAAATGCAGCCAAACGTACCTCCCGGGACGTATTTTGCGGTCTCCAGAAACGTCCACTGGACCACGTTTTCAGAATGAGCCTAGGTTGGACTTGTCGCATAAGTTCATCCTTTAGTTTCGCCTGAGGTATAAACAGCTCTCATGAGCTGAGGGTGCAGTAATCACTATACTATTTTTCATTCTCACAAAGAAAAATCAACTTTCTAGTAGAGTTTTATTCCGAGCCAGTTTTTACTACAGTGTTTATAACCTGGTGTTCTGCAACACTGACCTTCGCACAAGCTTGGATGAGTCATACAAGCCTATAAATGAAAACCCACGCTGACACGGCTCCGTATTCACACTCACAGAGACTGCCTGAAACACTGCGGTCAGGATGCAGGTGCTGCCCTGCGCAGGTGCCTGACTAGAAATAGACCTTGTGCTGGAGGATCTGCTTAACGTCGCTTCAAAACAAACAAAAAAACGCAGTAAAACACTCGCTCGGCAGCGCTATTTGAATATGCGATTGCTCTGACATAATGCTGACATGATGTTAAGATTGTATCGTCTGCCAGATGCTCACAAAGGGAGATGTGAAGGGCTCTGGCAGCATCACAGGGCCGACAGTGTGCTTAAATAGAGCTCATTGTGAGCGTTTTGGCGCATTGTGATAGCGTGAACACAACGGCTCTCTGTTTTCCAAGCAGAGCTGGCTGAAACACAAGGCCACTATTGATGGCCGGCTGAAGAACTGCGCAGTGTAGCTTTTAAGGGAAGGAAATGGTGGCTTTGGTTCGTACCTCCCAAAAGCTGTCCATGGCCTCATCAGCGACAGCGGATTCATCGTAGGAGCCAGACATGGTGCTGGGTGATGTGGAGCAGGACTGAACACGTCTGCAGAAAAGCGGACTTCCTCAAGCACTAAAAAGAGAGACAGAGACAAGCAGACATTGATCAGTCACACTGAAAACAGATACTGCAGCAGATGATAATATATGTAGAGTTCAGATGCAAAAATAAATGTATGGAGCTAATAATATGCCAAAATAGTCGAATTTGTATTGTGTTCATTTCAATTATTGACAATTGCAATTTAATATTCATCCATTCTCTTTTCAGCTAAGTCCCTTTATTATTCTGGGGTTGCCACAGCAGAATGAACTTATCCAACATATGTTTTTACGCAGCGGATGCCCATCTGCAACCCATCACTGGGAAACACATACTGTACACAGCTGAAAAGAAAATGAATGACTGGACATTTAAAGAAACCCAAAGTTTATGTTATATGGATATGCTTCTTGATATAATCACTGTCGTTTTCAATCAGTTGAACGGCTGGAATGTGTCAGCTGCAGGAATATAGTACTGACAATGATCAATGAATCAATATTATTCTACCAAGCAAACTGTTTAGAACAATGATTAAAGACAATGCTTCGTATGCCTGTAGAAAAACTGGCCTTGAAGGACTGCCTTTGAAGCAGCCAGAATGGAACCGCTTGTGTTTCTTCTGCATTGTTCTCTTACTGCAGTGGTGGGCCAATGTTTTAGACCCGAGGGCCACATCAAGTTTTGCAAACCAAGTGAAGGGCCACATGTCAAATCCTTCAAAAATAATTTTATTTATAGTGGCAGTATGCATGGAATATGTAATATCGGACTGAAACATGTCACATTAACACAAAACAGATTTTTTATTAGGTATTATTATGTCAAATGTACAAGTCAAATTAATTTGCACTGCTATTTATATTTACTTATCAATCATCATAAAATAATAAAATAATCCCTTATAAAATAATAATAATAATAATAATGTAATATTTTTTACAGAGGAGAATAGAAAAGATACTGTCTGATAGAAACAAATCTCATATTAACACATTAAAAATAATTGTAAAAAAAAAAAGTAAATAGTAAAAAGTTTACTATTCTGTCAAATTTACAATCATCTAATTTGTACTGCTATTAGAATATACAGATCAATTAATCAAAAAACTTGATAAAACCACAAATCTTCAAAAGAACTTTTTAAAGTGGACGTATGCATGGAAAATATAATCTATGACAAAAATTAACACATTTAACCAGCAATTATTACATAACTTGAGTCAAATTCACAACAATCTCATTTGAGCTTGTATTAATATGCTTATATCAATCATTATAAAACCAACCCGACTCAACATCATAACTTTTCAATCCAGATGGATGGGGCAACCATTACTGCATCCAAAATAGTGAAAAGCCTTGGAGTAACGATTGATGACCAAATAAACTTCTCTGACCACATTTCTAGAACTGCTCGATCGTGCAGATTCGCACTCTATAACATCAGAAAGGTCCGACCCTTCCTATCTGAACATGCAGCTCAACTCCTTGTTCAAGCTCTTGTTCTCTCCAGACTGGATTACTGCAACTCTCTACTAGCCCAGCTTCCAGCTAACTCTATCAAACCTCTTCAACTGCTTCAGAACGCAGCAGCACGAGTGGTCTTTAATGAACCTAAAAGAGCACATGTCACTCCGCTGCTCATCCGTTTGCACTGGCTGCCAGTTGCTGCTCACATCAAATTCAAAGCTCTGATGTTTGCTTACAAAGCGACCTCTGGCTTTGCTCCTTCTTATCTGCTCTCACTTCTGCAGATGTATGTGCCCTCCAGAAACTTGCGTTCTGTGAATGAACGTCGCCTCGTGGTTCCATCCCAAAGAGGGAAGAAATCTCTCTCGCATTCAATCTGCCCAGTTGGTGGAATGAACTCCCTAACTGCATCAGAACGGCAGAGTCATTCGCTTCAAGAAACGATTAAAACTCAACTATTTAGTCTCCACTTTCCTTCCTAATCTGCAGTTGCCTCTCTGGCTCCACCACTAACTGCACTCAAAAAAAAAAAAAAAACTTACATTACTAATGCTTTTGTTTCTTTGTTGCTTTTATAGTTGTGTAAATTGCTTCCTTGTCCTCATTTGTAAGTCGCTTTGGATAAAAGCGTCTGCTAAATGACTAAATGTAAATGTAAAACTATGAGATTATTATAATTATAGTAACTGAAGAAGAAACTTAGTCTTTGTTATTCCAAGTCATGTTATTATGAGTGTGTTAATGTGAACAATGAGTCTGAAAATAGAGTCTAAAAAGAGTCTGAAAGTTATATTAATATCAACATCCACACTCTCGCAAAATACCTAGCTGATTCAGTCGTTGCCTAACGAGATAAAAAAAAGCGCACCGCGCTGCTTTTTTCTTGTCAACAAAAAGGCAGTGCGGTGCACCTCGCATTTTGGGAATGTAAACGTAACATGCGTTCGGTGTGATCAGCCCCTTAGGTTGTGGTCTTTAAAAACAGCAATACTTTGTTGGCATATTAGACCTACCATTTTCTGTCCGATTTTAGTCAAGAAGAATTTTGTGGCCATTCTTCCGTAAACACACGACATTCAGAGTAAATTGTTTTGCCTGACTCATTTTCAGTCATTAACGGTCGAGTGCATTTTAATACCCAAGAGTGTGTTCAAATTCTACTGGTTGCACTAACTGCACTGCGTGCAATACTGCCATCAAATGGCGTTCACTTGTATTGCATCATTAATTTACTAATTCTGAAACCAAACGGTTACTAAGAAGCAGCATTTTAAAAACTCTCTTGTGGGCCAGATGAAAGTGTTCAGCGGGCCCCAAACAACCCGCGGGCTGTAGTTTGCCCACCTCTGCCTTACTGCAAGAGCATTATATCATTGAAAAGAAATCTTCCTTCTTGAAATAATTCTTTGATCCTGACAGCTACAACTATAGCCGCATTACTAATCAGCATATTCTGTTTGCCACAAATTACATTTGAACACAAAACATACAAATGCTGTCGAATATTATGTGAATAGAATTGAAGCACCTCTATACCACAGTGTTATAAATCTGAGGACCGCAGACAGATTCACGAGACCTGCAGCCCTGAGCAGTGCAGAAGTGAATGTGGTTTAATGAGTCTTTAACCCAGTTTCTCAAACCCAGATTCCTTAAGCCAACAATGCCTGATGACACACATATTGAACATGCGGAGCAGCCGTAACGACACAGGCATCTTCTTCAACACCTTTATTAGTTTATTGGCTGTTTGCTCATCGTGACTATTAGAGTAACTAATAATAACATTGACTGATGTTTTTTTTAGTCTAGGGTGCAAATCATACCACATGAAACCATCTACACCTTAAAGTTGTGTGTAATATTATGTGTGATATAAAAATTAATCTCCTGAAAATGATATACAGTTGAAGTCTGAATTATTAGCCCCCCTGTTTATTTTTTCCCGAATTTCTTTTTACGGAGAGAAGATTTTTTCAACACATTTCTAAACATTATGTTTTTTATCTTCATCATGATGACAGCACATAATATTAGACTAGATATTTTTCAGGGTACTAGTATTCAGCTTAAAGTGACATTTAAATGCTTAATTAGGATAATTAGGCAGGTTGTGGTAATTAGGCAAGTTATTTTACAATGATGGTTTGTTCTGTAGGCAGTCTGAAAAAAATACTGCTTAGGAGGGGTAATAATATTGACCTCAAATAGTTTTTAAAAATTAAAAACTGCATTTATTCTAGCTGAAATAAAAAAATAAGACTCTTCCCAGAAAAAAAAAAATATTATAGGAGATACTTTATTATAGATACTCTTTTATAGGAGATACTATTAAAGGATATTAATAATAATAATGTATAATGTAAAATAATAATGTATATATATATATATATATATATATATATATATATATATATATATATATATATATTAGGGGTGTGATACTACACTGGTCTCACGGTTCGGTTCGGTTCAATTCGATATCTCGGAGCATCACGGTGCATTGACAATGCTTTTTAAAATTGTAATTTCGAAAGAAATGGAGTTTACTTTCATTTTCCCCACAGCAGTACAATAGGGGCTTCTGCTGTAATTAAAGTGTAAGTAAATGATTGTCCAACAAACACATGCAGTGAATTGTGCAGAGTTACGCCTCCCTCGCCATAGTATTCTACCGTGACATAGAGCATATGAGATAAATGACGTCAGTCCATAATAACCGGTTAGGATCTATTACTGAACAGATACCTAATTGTCTGCATATATATATATATATATATATATATATATATATATATATATATATATATATATATATATATATATATATATATATATATATATATATATATATATACATACAGTTGAAGTAAGAATTATTCGCCCGCCTGTTTTTTCCCCCAATTTCTTTTTAACAGAGAGAAGATTTTTTCAACACATTTCTAAACATAATAGTTTTAATAACTTATCTCTAATAACTCTCAAAAATAATTGACTAGATATTTTTTAAGACACTTCTATACAGCTTAAAGTGGCATTTAAAGGCTTAACTAGGTTACCTAGGCAGGTTAGGGTAATTAGCCAAGTTATTGTATAATGATGGTTCATTCTGTAAACTATTAAAAATATATAAATTTAAGGGGCTAATAATTTTGAAAAAATACATTTAAAATTGCTTTTATTCTAACCAAAATAAAACAAATAAGACTTTTTCCAGAAGAAAAAATATGATCAGACACACAGTGAAAATGTCCTTGCTCTGTTAAACATAATTTAGGAAATATTAAATAAAGCCAAAAAAAAAAAAAAGCAAAGGGGGGCTAATAATTATGACTTCAACTGTATATATACAATAGTTCTGTCTGGATCTCGAATCTGACTGGGGTTGGTTGTTGGGCGAGTTGATCACGAACTAAAGGGGTTAGGATGAGGTGGATGAGGGGAGGTTTGGGGCGATTGCAAGCTGAAGAGCGGGGGCACTTCAGCTCATTTTGGAAGGGCACTTTCTATCCAAGCCTAAAAAGGGTACAGGTTGAGCCCCATGTGTGCACGTGGTT